ATTACGAGCATTAAAATTTATTCATTCAGCTAAAGTTTGTAAGTACATTATTGAATTTAATAACAATATTAAAATATTATTTATCTTTTATGTTCAATTATAGTACATCGAGATTTAAAACCAAGTAATATTTTTGTTGATCTTGATGGTCATGTACGTATTGGAGATTTTGGTCTTGCTCGTGTACCAGAAGAAGAAGCTAATACACCAATGACTGGTTATGGTAAATCTTTATTTTCCTTTTCTTTTGTTTTGTTTTGCTTAAATAAATAAAATTTTTCATTTAAAAATTTATTTTAGTATGTACACGATGGTATCGTGCACCTGAATTAATGCTTTGTGATGGAACATATACTTCAGCTATAGATATGTGGTCAGTTGGTTGTATTCTAGGTGAACTTATATTTGGTCAACCATTATTTCCTGGTCGTCATTATTTTGATCAATTACGTCTTATTGTTGAACATCGTTGTGGTTCATTAGGTTTTCCTGTTCATGAACATAAATTAGCATATCCAACAATATCAGATAAATCATTAAATGCATTTCATCGTATATTAGCACAATGTACAAATTATCATCCGAAACCATTTTTACCATCGGATTCTATTATACCAAATATAGATGAAGCTGCATTTGATTTACTTGATCGATTATTATTAATGGATCCACATAAACGTTTAACAGCTGAAGATGCTTTACAGAGTTCATTGTTTAATAATTATCGAAAAGATGCTGGAGGTGAACCATCATCGGAAGAAGCGTTTCAACTTGATCTTAGTCCATATCAATTATCTGACATTCGTGCTATGCTTTTTCAAAAAGTACAACTTGTTCATCAACATTTACATGAGAAAGCACTTATACTTAATGAACAAGCAGCAATGATGGCTAATATAAATATGGAGAAGATGGATTGTTATTAGTAATAGATTATTCCAAACAAACAAATAAACAAAAAATTGACTGAAATTTTTAGAAATTTTCTTCTCTAAGACAAAAGAGAGAAGGAATGTTTTGTATTTGTTGTCATTCAAGAAGAGTTTATTTTCTTCTTATATTATTTATGTTTTATGAGATCTCATTTTTTTTAATGTGAGTGAGTTTTGTTTATTACGTACGTTTTATGCTTGTTCTTCTTTTCTTTTATTGTATTTTATCAAGTAGGTTTAGTATCTATTCTTCTCCTTGATTATTATATTTATATTGATATTAGTTTTATCATTAATTACATTGATTCGTGCATCATTGTTGCAGCGTTTCATCTTATTAAAAAAAAATATATATATTATCCGTACCAACAATGAAACTATTCAATCAATCATTCTTTTATATAAAAATGATTATCAAATATTTAGTACAATTTATTTGCTGTTATTTTCCATAATATCAAAAGCACAACTAAGATTCTTTTTATGAACCAATAGAAAACGAAAAGCATGCTATAGAATGTGACGAAAAATGTTTGAGCTAACTTTGTGTAGTTTTAGTCAAGAAAGTACTATAAAGATAGCACAGGATATGTACCCATGTGCATTCACAGGCGTAGAAGAAGAGGGTAAAGTCGTTGAGTGATGAAGTTGGTTTCTGTCGAAATTGAATTTCTTATTCTTCCAATAGTCAATTTCAATATCCCATATCTTTTGCCAGCTAATAAGCCTACTCGAGTTAGATATGTATCCAAAATTTCAGACTTTATTATATTTGCCTAAGGAAAATATCAGCGATGCAGTTATTCAATTCTAAGCCTTATAATTGACTTTTGCAGATTAATCATTCCATGTAAGCCACTATCAGACTTGCTGAATCTAGGTCGTCAGATTTTTACTTAATTTAACATGTTATTCTGAATAAGTTAAACAACAAAAGCATGAACTTTGGTCACACGAGTACACTCAAATGTGCTTTGCATATCGGCATAGATTCATCAAAACGAATATAGTTCTTTTCAGATATTTCTAATCATTGTCTATGATTACATGTGACAGAAAGAAGAACAAAGAAAAATTCAAGCAATAAAGTCAAGCAGAAAACAAAGAGATAAATCGTTATGAGTGCAAGGAAAACAGGAAAATGGTACATATGTAAATTAGAGAAAGAATGATATTAATTGCCAAAAGCAAGTCATACCCCTATGCACATATTGGTTTTCTTCACCTTTCAATTAATTTAAGACACTACTAAAAAAAAACTAATGTGTTGTTTCTCACCACGAATATTTCTTTGCATGACTTACATGATTGAAAAATGTTGTATGTTGATATCATTTTTTCCAAATTACTCATATACTTACCAATAATTCAACAATCATGGAAGTCATTTCCGTTACTACTCATTATCAACTCATATTTCTTTGCCATCGGCAATGATATTAATCATGCTGGAAAAAGTATGTACTATTTCCATAGAAATCAATATCGATAGATAGGTATATAAATAACACGTTAGACAACCATCGTTGCTATTCACAAAATGTTTATCTGCTGTTGTTGCTATGTTATTTGTTTCAAAAGTGGACCAATGGGTCAACTACAACCATATATTGGTTTTTATCCAGTATTAATCATCTAATGCGAAGACTGAATCAAGATTGATGTGACTTGTCGCAAGATACAAACGATTCATATTCATCTTATTCTGCTTGTTTCTATAAGTGTGACCAACTCGTTTAAATATACATAATCAAGAGTATTAGTATTTCATAGACATATATTATTCAACTCATTATTCCTGAAAAAAATGAAGTTTACCAATTATTTTACATTGACTGTTAGATAGAAGAAATATCTTCTATCATTTCGTTCTGATATTATAAATATCAAAATGTGATTATGGTCTTTTTGTTTGTTTGTTTTTTTTACATTCATTTTGGAGTGTTTTATTTGAATCGTTTGTGATATTCAGCCTTTCAAAAGACAAATAAATGCATGCAATCTATCTCGACCGAACTTACTATTAGATGTATTATGTTATAGTTTTTATTAATTCTATATGCAACTGAAATGAATGAATGAAATCTCGTCAAATGGAAATTATGCTATCAGTAGCTTTGTTTGTTTTAACAAAAACTTGATGAGAAGAGTGTTAAAAAAACTAATGACTGTAGGAATGTTCATGAAAAATAATATCAATGAAAAAAAATGAAGTTTATTCAATAAATTTTTGTCAAAAGAATCGATATTGAGATGATATTTCGAGATCTAATCCTTCATAAAAAGACATGATTTGTCACTTGCTATCTCATTCGTTAACCAAATTTTTGATGATTTTTGACATCATCTGCTTCAAAGAAATACACTGATATCAGAAAAAAGGGAAGTATTTTTTATTTTTTACTTTATTGATCATGCATCCCAGAACTCTTGAGAAAAGTACATTTTAATCATTTGCTTGTTTTTTGGTTTGAAAGAAAATGTCACGATGCAATGTCTGACTGGATTCGTTTCTTCAAATAAGCTTTTGTATAATTATATAGAAAAGCATTTCTATAGATAGATAAATATTTTTTGAGTTTCTCGAGATATTGAACTTATTATTCTTTTTCGCCGCATAAAAATTAAGAATTAAAAAACAAAGTGCTGTTGTCGGACAAGCTCTATCAGATATAAAATAAGATGAAACTTATAGAATGAAGACCCATAGAGAATTTGGATTATTTAATGAACCATTTTTAGTCTTTATTTGTTGAATATCTTCTGCAAACATTATGATATGAAACTGAAAATTTTAACATAATCTATCCACTATAATCCAACATATTCTGAGAATTTCATGCGATTTGAATGCATCTGGACCAAAATAAAGAAATAATGACGACTAAATAACAAGTAAATGAAAATTTAAATAACAATATTTCTTTTTTTTTTTCATATATAATTCAAACGTACAGTAGAACAGGAAACTTAAGTACATTTATTATTGGTATTAGGAATAAATTTAGCTATTTTACATTGATTTTATAGTTTTGTCAATATATCATCTTATATTTTAATCTCATATTAATACAAGATTTATATTGTCATTTATTTGTTGTTTGGTGGTCATTATCACTTCTAGCAAAAGTTTCGCAACATTTTTTGTTTTTTGCATGTAACTCTATCCAAGAACATAATAAAATATTTACCATATTCTTCAAAAGATATGCTCTTAAATGTTCTACTCGGATCACAAGATCAAATCTTTATAACCATTTTTGAAAACTTCAACAGGCTACTAACACTGAACATGTATATTATCGGGTTATATCTCACGAAGAAAAATGGGAAAATTCTCTTTTGTGATTGACAACTAACGTCATTTTTACTCATTATAGTCAGGCGTTAGTGCATTGATCTCACTGTTTTTAAATAATGGGTTCGAGAGCAACACATCATAAAATGCTTTATTTTAGAGAGAAGCATCTAGCTCAATTGACACAAACATTATTTTTCACTTGTACCCAAGATCAGAATGAGTAATAATCCTCATGCTCTGACAGCCGTATTAAATTTCTAATTCATTTCAAACATTATAGCCATAACGAATTAACAATAATTATTAAAATCGAAATTCAATAATTTTCGACATTTCCTAATTTTGTCTTGTAGGCAATAATACGATCATTACAGTGTTTTGTGTTAGCACTGTATTAAAATTTTGAAAATAGTAATGAAGATTTGCTGTTGTGATCCGAATAGAACATTAAATGACGCATGTTTTGAAAAGAAATAAATATCATAAAACTTTCGTCACACATGGTATTTCTTTATTTATCATTAAGTATTTATTGTTCTTGAATTTGAACACAAAGCGATAATCGTGTTTGAAAGTTGACATTCCCTATTGCAAAACATCTTAAAATAAAATTTATTCAATACACTACATTTTCTTTTGTTGTTAATGTTTGACTGAATCGCAGAAGATTTTCTTTTGCAACTGTGAATATTTTTATTCATACACAAAGACACAACTACTATGAAAAACAATGTTTACAAAAAAAAAGTCGATAGTAACCAAGTTGGTTATTTCTTATCGTTTGAACTATCTGTACCGGTATCTTTCATTAATGTTTGTATATAATCAGTTGCTGATCGAACAACATCATAATCCGACATTCCTTTCGCATTTGAATTAGGCAATAATGAACGTAATTGATCTAATGATGATTCATATGTATTATTTGTATTCGAATTTGATGACGATGATGATGATGATGATGCTACTGATGAATTATTCGATGACATTGAAATGAGATTTATAATGTAAAATTGATTACGTGAATTAAATATTGAACTAAATGTCTTTCAACAATGAATAGACAAAAGAAAATTTAAACGGACAGGTGTGCCAAACAAAGAACGAAAGAAAGAAAAAACATGTTAGTCGACTTTTTTTTTCCGCTCATATCTATCTATCAGTTCAACATGGACGGACAGGTCAAAATTTCTATAAGTGCCCTTATGTTTAATCATTCGTCATTTATTTTATCAATAAATGAATACATTTAAAAAAAAAGAAAGAAAGACCTTTTCTTTTCGTTTATTTAACTTTAACAAATTTAAATTCAAGTTCATTAATGGCTACAGGTTGTTTAGCTTTTTCATCATAATCCATCCATTCTTTATTTTCGGACAAATCAATTTGACCAAATTTCGTACTAGATTCAACACCTTGACATGTCCATCCGTCACCTTAGAAAAAACAAGAAAACGAGAGTAATTTCTCATATATATATATATTTAATAAAAAAATGATTTTGTTTTTTACCTGGTTGCCAATCAACTGGTTCAATACCACGACATTCAAATATAACAAGTGTCTTAAAAGTATGATTATCCGAATCATCAGTTGTATAATTCATTGGTGGTTTAACTGGTTCAATATTTAGATTTGCTTCTTGTGAACAAAATTTACATTTCATTAAAAAATTAGCTTCACCACGACTTCCAGATATGCTTGATGATTGTTTTATATTAATATCATGATATGTATCAGAATGTGTATGACATTTTGTACAATCTAATTTTAAATACCAGATAAAATCATCAAAAGATTCTATATGAAAATCTGTGACATTGTCAAGATTTGCTTTTATTTGAAGTGCTATCTTCACCATCTAAAAGAAAAATAATTTAAATATATTTGAATTCATAATCGGATAGAAATATGTGTTTTTTCAGCTTCCAAAAGGTTTTGTCAGAAGCATTTATTAATAACGCCTCTTTAACGAGCGCAAAATTCTGGTCAAAATGTGTATTCGCTGCATTTTCTACGACCTTCTCTTAAAAAAATTAAAGTGTCACGAAAACTGTTTTTTTTTAAGGCGATTGCTTGAGAAAGTTCGTTTTATGACTTTTGTAATCTTAACTTTTTACAAGAAGGTCATAGGAAATCCGGTGTCCCTTCATTTTGTTCAGAGCTGTACGTATTTTGAAATAGTCTGGTTAAAAAACAGCTCCAACTGTCTTCTCGAGCCTGAAAACTATCATGTCCAAGTTTTTAAAAACCTTGCCATTATCGTTCATCGATGAAATATTGGTATAAAATGCATGAATTTATTGGTTATTTAAATTACTTTCTGGATTTGTGCTCGATACTTAATATTATAGAAATTTTAAAATAAAAAATATGTTGTTGTAAAATTTTTTTCACCATAGTAAATTATATAAGGTTGGCAACTTTGCAAAGAGGTGTCTTAAGATAATTAGCATCGGGAAATGGGATTGAGCCTTGTTTTTTGGGAATTAACAAGCAAAAACACAATAAAACGCTGAAAACAAACGAAAATTTTTCAAGATTCAAGCGTCGTAAAAAAGCTTGGAACACTTACACCTTCTCAAAAAAAAGTCAATAGGCTGCATGTTTGTATTATATTCAACAAAGGACAAAATTATATTATCCGTTGGAATATAATTTATTTCGAAAGAGAAAATCAATGTGATTGACAGTTTTAACTTCAAATTCTTGACTGATTGATCTTCTACAAGTAAATTCCTTACTTATTTTTCCGCATATGATCTTGACTACTAGAATATCATCTGAATTTCATCATGGAAGAGTTTTATTTAAGTTTTCTGAAAACCATAGAAAAAAGAAAGTCATTCATTGCATGATGAATGACGCACAGTTCAAGGTTATTATGCACGCTTTCAAAAAGTTCATGTATAAAAAGATAGATAAAAGTAGCAGAAGATTATATTAAACAAACTAAAGTTTCTCAAATTAAACATAAAAATGTATTTTATAGAGTTTAAAAATAAATTAATTATAGTCTTATAACGTTCAGTAACCATTTGTATATGCCCGATGTTACATGACAGAAAATAAACAATCGAAAAAAGCTTTTTATTGTTGGTTTGCGTTGTTAACCAATCGTATGAAAGAGTCTTCAATGTGTCTGATGTCACTTTTGTTAAACACATCAAGCAAAAGCAAAGTACTCAAGGTACTTATGGTATTGAAAGTCTACTGTGTTATATAATTTACTGCAAAAAAAAATGAAACAGTACTGCACTGATACTCTCCAAAGTAGGAAAAACAATTTACTCATTTGTTTGAATAGTAAAGGTTTTAGATCAATAAAAAGAAATAGAAGTCGACATATTAGCTAATCTATAACATACATCGTTAAACATTCATACGATAAAATTCTCATGAAATTATCAAATGATTGCTTTATCGAACTAATGTTTTTATCTCATAACATTGATTTGATGTGTTAAATACAATAATTAATAATTCAGTTTTATTCATATCAGTCATCTTGAAAGTTCTTTTTTTTTTTTAATCATAAAACATTGTTTTTATTTCATGAAATTCCGTATCTGATTCATCATCCTATACCGCCATCATCATACTTGACGTCATGGAAGAACGCCATAGAACAAAATCATCGACAAATCTAAAATAAATATTGCATGAGATAGAAAAAAAAACAAGCATGAATAAGAACAACAATATGTATTTATAGAATAGTACGAAAACTAAATTCATACTATTATAAATAATATTATTTTATCTTTATTATAAACAACATATTTTTCAGATCTTTGATTAAAACGTACAATGTCATCGAATGAACAAAATTTTAATTTAAGAGAACAAGCTGGTTCTATTGGTCAAGCAGGTGGAGCATTTAGTGAACGAGGTCGTGCAGCTGAAAATGCTTATTTTCATGCACAAGAAGCTGAACAATTAGCTGCATTAAAACAACAACTTGAACAACAACAGCAACAAAAACAATCAAAATAATGAAATTATGAATATAATTCATATTGACTGATTTCTTTTTTTTGATTATCTCTTATTATCTGTATTATTTTCTTATTTAGCATCGCACGAAAATAAATATTTTACTTTTTAATCAAAAATAAAAAAAAAAATTATCAGTTAACAACTTTATGAATTTCATTAGAATTTTTTTGACATGTTTCTAATAATTATGACAGATTGAAACAAAATTTTTAAGCTTCTATATAAAATGTGTTCAAAATAGAATATAAAATAATTTAAAAAGAAATGACCAAATTTAAATCATCTATGCCTTTGAAACAAAAACTAGAAGTCGATTTTAATACTTTTGTAAAACAGGTATAGTGAAAGATCGAGAACGTTCTTGATGACTGCCAAAAACTACAGAAGAAAAAATCGACAAAGTTCATCATATTTGTGAAAGAGAAATTATAATCATGTACTCGAATTGTTGCAATAGTTACAACAGAACACCTTACATTAAAGCCGTATAAGATACATTGTTAATTGTGAAATATTATAGCAGACCATTACGACAGTTCAAGTACGTGTATGCGATTCATTTTTTTACGAACATTATAAATTTCGTCGACTTTTTCTTCTATCGTTTTTGACCTTTTCGTGTATTAGTTTCACAAAAAAATTAAAATGTAACTGTAACAGATTTTTCATTTAGTATATTTTTGTCGAACTCGACTTGTGTAGGGCTGTTTGATCAGTTCAATGACCACATGGTAGAGAAAGAAAATATTGTATCAATAGAATAAAAGAACGATTAAACCAATACAAATTGATTTTAATAAGCAGTTTCTTTGCTTTGAGCCGCTGTGTAACATCTGAAGACATGTAGTGCATAATAAATACTATTTCGAATTCTCAGGAGTTGAGGTTTACTGTACATATATTAACTTTGACCTTGATTGTTCAGTAATGAGTCTATGATCAATTGTATGCCTTAGTACGTGTAATTCGCCTAGTTATTATGAAGAGGACAATTTGTTTCGAACAATTCTTTCTTTTTTCCAAATTATTCGATTTTGTGTAGGTCCAGTATTTCAAATGCAAAGTTATGAGAAAAAAAATCTTATCAATTTGTATTATTTCATTATTTCAACATGTCTTGGAATCAGTATGGGAGATCAAACTAGTCGAGTTCTAACTTTTCAGTTATAACTGATCAACTTTTCAGTCAAAATAATTCATTCATATATAACCATCAACCGAGGTTGTAACTAGTAATTATTTTGATTTGATCGATCAAGCATGTATTTGTTTCATTGGTCTGTGCTTCAAGAACTTCATATTTACTCGTATTTGTACGTTGAACACGGGCATACTTGGAACCAGATTGGTTCGATTATCACTGGTTTTCTTTTGGTCACTGGAGTTGACGATTTAGTTCGCTTTTTAACGATTTCTATGGTTTCAATGACTAAGAGATATGAGTCTGAAAGTTTTCAGCAAAGTTGTCATGAAAATCTCAGTTATAAACATTGAGCTAACATTTTGCCATTATACGATGAGAGCTTCAGATCATACTGAATGATGTTTTTATGCTTCCGAATAGTTAGGCAAGTATTAAAAGTTAATTTGGATCTAAACTAAAGATTTTTAACCTCAAAATTTCGAAGTCAGTTTTCTGAACTACTTTTAATCGACTCTCATAAAATCTCAACAGGTAGTAGTTTTCATTACAAAATATCAGAAAAGATTCTGAAATCTTCAAATACAAACTCAAATACGTTCAATACCAAATATGAGCGTAAATACACATGTAATAAAATATATTAATATTCTGAAAAATATGAACAGCAGACAATCATATTTTTAGAAATTAAAACTATTATATTCCATTTCTTATTCTCTAAAATAGTAATCATCTTCAATATATATTGTATTAAGGTTTAGATAATGCTCTCTATCAATATAATCATATATAGTGTTTCTTTAAACATGAAATAACTATATGAAGTTATTCTGTGTTCATTTTTATATGTTCATCATTATTTATGTTGGCACACATCTTTTTCTTTTGTTCTAGTTCTTTCTCTTTATTATACCGTCGTACGAGAGAAGAGAAACGTGTAAGAATAAAGAAATCAAGTGAACAACCCAGATTGACAAAACTAGTAAAAAAACGCGTAAAAACGGGCCCAAAAACAAAGGCGTTCCAATTCGTTAAAATCACACATTTAAACGCTTTAGTAACACTGTGCTATTTCGAACAACGTTTTTATGGTGTTAGATAGTACTATGAGTTCATAACGCGTTTAAATGTGCGGTTTTTACGAAAATTTTTTCGTTTCATATTTTAAACGCGTTTTTACATGTTTTATTTTTTGAATAAAACAGATACTATAAGGTAGAGAGACAACTCAACACGTCGTGATCATTTGAGAGTTAGGTTGAAACTATATTTTTCCTAACTATTTAAAGTGTATCCTTAATACGTCTTTCTGTACGTATTAAGGATACACTTTAAATAGTTAGAAAAAATGTAGTCTCAACTAACTCTCAAATGATCACGACGTGTTGAGTTGTCTCTCTACCTTATAAAATTTAGTTACTTTATTTTAATTGGAATTAATTATATGTGGATAAATAACTGAAATATACGCAAGTTCCGTAACATTCTTTTTTTTTATTGTCTAACAATGTTCTATTCTATTGTAAGATATGTTTTGAAGCCATCAACTATTCTCTTATTCTACCATTGTCTAGCTACGAATCTATGACCGCAATAAAAAAATAAAAAACTGATTGTTATGAAAGAGAGTGAATAAAAAAAGGGAAAATTGATATAGTTGTTGATGCTAAGTTAACTGTTCGTATAACTAAATAATTTAACACAAGGTTGACTAATGT